ATCAATCCCGTCACGACGTACGGGGGCGTCGTCTACGATGCCAACTCGGGTACGCAGTTTGTCGATGGCTGGGGCATCAAGACGCCGAGCTACTTCTGGAAGGTTGTGCTCACGACGGACCCGAAGACGGTTCTTCCCCAACGAGGAAAACCTCGGCAAGCTGGATAAGTACTTGGTGTCGGTCGCCTCCATTGAAGCACGGCTCAACGACGGTCTTGGCCCGATTCCAGTGCCAGAGGGGCTCAAGAACACGGTCGAGTCTGCGACGTGGGCTCTTCCCGACAACTGCGATCACGGCCGCCGCTTGTTGTAAGCGCACTCAATACTCAATCCAGAGTCGTTTTGCGAAGCGCAGAACACTAAACAACAAAACGATGTGTATAGATCCCAAACTGATGGTATTTGGTGAAGAAAAATAGAGAAGTACCGTACTACATCCGACACTACGAGTCTCACGGTCGTGGCTTGACAACCACTTCTTAAATCTGCCGACCTCCAGAACTACAGCTACAAGTGAAGTATGCGTACGCAACATCTCAGCGTCAGCGACCAAAGGTTGGGCTGGAAGCTGTACCCAGGATTTTTGCCTTTCCGACGGGCGTCAATGTCCACGGCGACCAAAGGGGACGCGACGGTCGCGTCGCCACCATGGCCCACGCCCAACCAGGCCCGAAATTTATTCTGTTTGCCGTCGTTGGGTTGTGATCGAACAATACACTTACATGCAGCCCATATTGAGACAGTTTAGATAATATGATGCCGCGCACCCTGCACGAGCCAATCACGTGGCTTGGCGCGACCAAGCCAATGAGGAAAGGTTCGACGCTCACAATCGCCACATTGCCGTTTGGAACCACCCAACAAAGATGCTACAGGAGAGCAGTCGGCTGCCGCAGCTCAAGGCCGACGAGACGCGGCGCGTCCGGTGCTTCGACAAGCGCTGGGTGCTCCAGCTCATTCCCGTCGCGATCCTCTCGGTCATGTTTGTCGGCGTCGTGACGCCGTACCTCCAGCAGCAAGCCCGTGCGTCCAGCCACCATACAACATCCTCTCTGACGTGGCATTTCTTCAGGCAACTCGGACGCGTTCAAGGTCTTGTACAACGACACGACGGCGATTCGCATGGGCCAGCGCATGACGAATGGGTCCACGAACGTCCTCCACATCGAAGTGCTCGTCGGCGGCCTCAACACCGAGACCTTTGGTATTTTTGATGTCGTCAAGCATACATGGTTTTTTCACACACATATCTTGTGTAGACATGTCGCTCACCTCGTACATCACGCACATCCCCGACAAGCTCAAGGACCCAACGACGCACCGGGTACGAGGAGCGAACCCTCGTATTGAGCGCGAGGTTGATCAGCCATTGCAGCTTTTGCAGCCGTTCCGGCTCATGGTGGGTCGCTACTCGACCGTCGTCTCGGCCAACTCGTCGAATCCGTACGGCCCGATGGCGGCGCAGATCCCCTTGACGTCGGGCTCGCTGAGTCAATACCCGCTCGATCGGTTCGACACTTGAGTATTGATGAGTTTTCGTCTTACAAAATACATTGTAGCTACAGCGCACTGCTCAAGATCGAAGCCATGACGGGGCTCGGCCCGCACACGGGCGAAGCGACGGAGAAAATCCAAGTCCTCATGACCTACTACGGTGTCGAAGACTATGCTTGGGAGTAGGAACAATGCTCGAGTCCAACGACTCAACGTACATTGTAGCTACACGGTGAAGAAGCTCGCTCTTTCGGAAGCCGACCGCATGTACGTCGGGAGCACGGAGAACGCCGACATGTTTTTGATCTCGGGCGGCCGCAAGTCCAACTTTTACGTCTACATTGGCTTGATGTGGCTCGGGATCTGGTCCGTCACGATCGCCGTCGGGTACATTGGCAGGTATTCTTCGACGCTCGTCGTCCCGAGTCTTTTGTATTCCCGGGTTTGACACGGTGCAATAGCATGATTGTCATTTGGAACCGCGAGCCCGTGGACAGTCCCGAGATTTTCCTCACGGCGCTCTTTGCTGTGCCTGCCTTCCGCAACACGGCCCCGGGCAAGCCTCCGTACGGTACGTCCAATTGGGTTTCATTTTCCCGTTTTTTCTCATTTTTACATATTTTACATGCTTTGGATGCAATTTTGTGGTGTCGCCACGTCGAGAGCGTCCGTCGCTCACGCACTGTGTCTAGGCTGCTTGTTCGACATTACGTGCACGTACTTTGCTATCACGGTCATCTTCATCTACCTCCTCTCGGTCGCGTTCAAGTACATAAGCAAAAAGAAGCGCAACTAGATAAGCTCGGAACAACACGACGTCATTTTGGTTGTCTGGAACAGTGCATTCGCCGAATCTGGTACGATCATACCAGATTACTTGGCTCCGTGTCCAGTCCGTGGGTCGGCGCGTGAAACTGGGGCTGGTGCTTGGCCATGGCACTGCGACTGGGCGACGACTCCTAGCACCAATCAACGCCGCCCAAGGGTCGTGTGCCTCTGTGCACGGCTTCGAATGCAAGGTCTATGCACGGCCATCACGTCGAGACGCGGCACGCGTTCCAGTATTGACACGATCGGTGCTAATGTTACTCGCCTTCCTTTTGGACTGGGCCCGACCCGGAGAGCCGCGTTGTGTGCGCGGCTCGGCGTTACATGCCGCGTGAATTTTAAGCGGTCGAATCTTCCATCGATGTTGCGGCTGCGTCTTGCCGTCCGTCGCTGTGCCGTACCTGCAACATGCATCGCACAATCCGCACGACAATCGAAATTTCGCGTATTTTCCAAACCAGCAGCGCATGGCATGGTCCACCACACGAATGCTATGTACTACGCCGAGTTTTAGGAAAACTCTAATAGCTAACCCTCGCACTAACGAGTGATGTTTCATGTCGAAATGACCTTGGAAAGTCCTGTTAGTATGGAGCACAAATTTGGGGTGCAAGCACTAACAACGCGCAGTACGACGACGGGCGGACAATTATGGGCCCATCGCGTACTGGTACAAACAGAGGCCTGCATTCGTAAGGTAGCTGCTTTCGGGCGACCGGTGCAATCTGCACACAAAACCTTCCACTCATTTGTACGTGTTTTTGAAAAGATCTCGCGCGTTGTATACTAAAAGGCACGGCAAGATGGGCGTTGGTACTAGCGACACTGCGCGCCTCAAGAAATCCAGTGAGTGTGTATAGCCACGTGCGCCGTCCCCCATGGGACTGTCGCAGGCCGCGCGTTTCACAAGTGTGCTATCGCGACACCAAGTCGGCTTGCGCTCAAGTATACTAGTACGCTTTGTTTGCATACAAGAGCGAAGTGGATCCGCGACCAAGTGCGTGTGCCCAAGACGCTCATTTTCACATTTCCATTCCCAAAAGCATGACCAAAGACGTGGAGCTTGGCTTTGACGAAGTTGGTTCGCCAACGTCCGCGTCGTCGTCGTCCCATTCACACCGGCCCATGGACCGCCGATGGTACCTTGAAGGCCTCTTTGTCTTGACCCTTGTCGGTATTTTGCTTTTGACGATCATCCCGACGCTCCTACTCAACCACGGTTCGCCCGTTTAGCCTTTGGCAGTGGACTCATGCGGCTATCCTCTAGAACGGACCGCCTACACCTTGCTGCATCAAGACGCCACGGACGACGCGGCGCTGCCGATTGCTATGGTGCTCTCTGGTGTCAACACGGATACGAATCGTACGGACAACTTGTGCATCGTTTCGTCACGATAGCTCATCGACGTGCATGGCTGTAGAGCTCATGGCCCAGCTCTTTTGGACGGCGCGCTACCTTCGTCGCTGACGTCGTCCGAGCATCCTCGCCAAGTACGATCTTTTCCAACACGCAAGACGCTGTGTGCTTACTAAGTTGCCTGTCTAGCTCGCGCGGTCGCTCAATCTCAATGTCAACGGCAACTCGATCACGTTGAGCCCGGCCATGAACCTTGCCGCCGGCATCTCGCAGCAGGTATAGTGTGTCGCATCGTGGCATTTTCAAGGACCTCATCTCGGTTGTGTGCTTGCAGGTGACCTTGTCGTCCGGCTCGATCATCATGTTCCCCTTCGACAAGTACGTACAACAACCTCTTTCCTTGCTGCTTGGTTTCTGACATGAGTCGCGACGATTAGATACACGGCGCCGCTTTCGGCTCACGCCACGACGACCAGCGCCGTGACAAATACTTCGGTGACGCTACCGGTCCGCCTCGCCATCTACACGGCAACGGATTTCAACTGGAAGTATGCCGTTGTGACGGGCGACAATCTCGTGGGTCCGGGTGCCAATGGTCCTCTCGGGTACGTGGTTGTTGGTTTTCAAACAGTTTCTTATAAACTCGTAGCCGTCTCGTGGTCGAAACCTACCGCCATCCGCTCTTTTTCAGCTACATTATTGTCATGTGGCTTGGCATTTGGGTTGTCGGTCTCTCGCTCGCTTACATTGCCAGGTATGGTATTTGGCGATACTCCCACTGCGCCTGACCACATTCTTTTGTGGTAGTATGACGATTATCTGGAACCGCAAACCGGTGGAGAACCCGATGGTCTACTTCTCGGGCTTGATTGTCATTCCTATCTTCCGGAATACAGCACCGGGCCATGCTCCGTATGGTACGATTACCGAAATGCCTCGACAACGGCAATTGAGCTCATGCACTTCTGTAGGGTGCCTCTTTGATATGACGTCGACGTACCTTGCGCTTGCGATTGCCGCCATTGGCATGCTCTTTGCCACTTTCATCTCGATGAACAAGACCCATTGATCCTAGACACGACGCCTTTCGTCGCCGCCCTTTATATATATGAACGTGAACGCGCTCGTTTTGTTAGTATACAAACACTCGAGTATATTTACCTCGACTCGCTGACAGCACAAGCGGTGGGGTCTCTTGATCATCGGCTTACGCACGGGGCGCTTGCAGCTCTGGGTGACGCAGGACCCCCGCGACTGGAGGTCGCTGTGGAGGATGAGCCGTCCCGTGAGCTTGGTCATCACCTTTCTCATGATCTCTATTTAGCGTCTTCTTAACATACTAACTACGACTAGTAGCACATACATACTAAACTAGTACTCGTATGCAGCGCCAAAAGATCCTAATGAATCATGCTGATTTCGTTGGTTGCATCGATTAGTCGGGCGGAATACTTTAACTAATCTCATGTGATCAAATCCTTAGGCTAATTTAAAAACATACCTTGAATCGTGTGGGATAAAGCTAGGTAAGCCTAAACTATTTTACCCTCACCTAACTTTGCCTTTGGCTTCCGAACAAAGCTCCGTACCGGTACCCAACCCGTTGACTAAGCTTAAACGATGACAGAAAACTTAGGCTTCGGACCGTGTATGTCGCATTTTTGTTTTGGCCAATGGAATTCTTGCAGATGAGCATTTTCAGAAATTCCATTACGATCATGGGCGCCGAACGGGAGCATCCGTTCTTGGAGCCGCTGCAAACCAAGCCGCTCGCCCATACCTCGCGCCGCCGCTGGCTTTTGCAAGCAGCGCCTCTCACGGCTCTCATCGCGCTCCTTCTCGCAACCTTGCTGCCTCTGTTGCACGTCCACACGAGCCGTACTTCTGACGTAATTCGAAATCTCCATCTCACCATGACCAATATCTTCCCTAGAAGCACAGGCAACACTGCTCTATAAAGACGCATCGCCGAAGGAGCCGTCGTCGGTTCTCTCCGTGTCCATTGTCCTTGCCGGTGTCGACACGGACGCCAATGGTACCCCTCCCAACGCATCGCTGTTGCTCATGTCGTGGACACTAGAGCTCGCGACACTGATTTACATCGACGATATCCCTACTACCATGGGTACTGCTGCCAATGGTATCCGCAAGGTACGTTTATGGTTCTCATCTCGTTTTCGAAGGTCTACCGTAGCTGGCTGCAACAATCAACCTGCTGGTCGATGGCCACGCAGCCGTCTTGGCCCCCGAGACAACCGATTTGTGGTCCCCCATTCCTCTCAAGGTTGCAAGTTCTACACTTTTTTGCTTTGATTCAACCATGTTCTTGGTTTATACATAGTCGGGTTCCGTCGTCATGTTCCCACTGGATCGGTAGACACAATTCTCTTGTTTTAATCCGTTATAAAATCAGCGGGCTCGATGGAGTAGGTACTCGACCCCGTTGCACATCGCCGCCAATACCGTGCCAACCACGAATGCAAGCAAGAGTGTGGATCTTCCTGTACACCTATCGGTCTACGAGAATGCCGACTTCAACTGGCGGTATCAACTATATCTACAAGTGCAACTGTTTCAGTTAGCATGACGTCGGTCATAGATATTCCGTTGCCGTTGCAAGAACCCTCGGAGCGCCATTAACCGCGAGCACACCGCCGGCAGGGTACACTCTCCAGCAACGAATAGCGACGCCGTTGACGTGGCGAATGCGTAGGCTCGTGACCATTGAAGCGCATCGTCACCCGATCTTCTTTAGCTACATTGCCATCCTGTGGCTCGGCATTTGGGTCGTGTCGGGCTCGCTCTTGTACATTGCAAGGTACATTGGCCCTGTAAATGCGGTGAATTCGATACTGCTGACGTAGCATGACGATGGTGTGGGGGCGACGCCCCGTGGAGAACCCCATGGTGTACTTTTCGGGCTTGATTGCCGTCCCTATCTTCCGCAACACGGCGCCAGGACATCCGCCCTACGGTCTGTCTCGTGTTGTCGGGACAATAATTGATGTATCTCACTGCATGTAGGCTGTCTTTTCGACGTCACGTCCACGTATTTAGCGCTTGCCGTGATCCTTGGAAGCATGCTCCTCGCGTCGGTGCTTTCGCTGTGCCCCAAGCCGCCGCAGTAGAGAAGGGTCATCCCAGTCCCGCTGCGCGTAACGTTGGAACATATTGCTATTTTACGGCTTCTACGGGAAAAGTTTGCTGTAAACCTCGACGCATCTACCAGAACGGGGCGCAGCGTCAGTGTTGTTGAGTCTCAACCGCGACGCCGATGACATGCAACGAGAGCTCTACACGCGTCCTCTCATTGGTGATTGTCCGCCAATCACCGAGCCTCTTTTACATGACGGACGGAAACCTCTCGCTAGAGAACCTCCCAAGCGAGTAGGATGACTATAGTCGTCGCTGTCTACTGTACAAGTAACGTTAGTTCAACAACTGCCAACCGACAACCAAACCGAGCACAACATGACACACGGAGCACGGTTGGCGCACACAACGCTTGCAACGGCAAGGAACAGTTGAAGCAAGGATCTGTATAGCTTTGAGTGGCAGCACGACGAACGAAGCCCTTGACCTTCCATCTCCTCAGTTGTCTTCGCCATCACGCAGCTGCGGTCGCTTTCTGGACTTCAAGCTTCCTTGGTGATCTTTCGACCGTTTTTTACGCGCCAAAATTTCAGCTTCCAATTATCGAATTACCTTTCGTAATACGTGGCACTCGCATCGCACGATCGTTGATGCACGGCGGCCTTCCCTGAACACGACGACGCCAAGCCGTGCCATGATGGTGCCGTGGTTACCGACTCGACCCGATGTGTCGCCACCTACAGCCCTACCTACAGCCCGTTCTTCGATCGACCGGTCATGCAAATTATATTTCGTGTGCATCGTCAAAATCTACGCTAAAATTATTGGATTCAATAGAGCTACTACGGGGCCATGTCGAGAGTGATGAACTTCTGAAACCCCTTTGAATTGCGGGTGACGGGATGGCTCGCGGCGGCTTCGAGAAGCTCACCGAGCTTTTCCTTCCGCTCGTCCAGGTCGCGTGTGTGCTGGCGCTGGAGCTTGGTCAAAAGGCCATTGTACGGCAAGTCGGGAATTGCCACCCCGCAGTCTTCTGCTTCTTCGAGGACAACATCCTTGAGCTCGCCATGGAGGCGCTTAAAGTCCCGGAACCGCCGTTGAATCTCATCGGGCGAGTTGGGCATCGAGATGTGGTAGACTACAACACCGTCATTTCGAACGCTGTGCCCCGTGATGACAAACGTCTTGTCGCGAGCTGCCTCCTTGCCGACGTCTCTGCGGGCGTGGGCCGACTCTGGCGTGGCCACGTCGCTGGCCGCAGCGCTCTCGGATGCTGCCACAGCGGCGATGGACAAGTCGTCGACCGCTCGCGACGTCGTACACCCCATTGTCGCCTGGAATCTTGAGATGCCACGCCACGAAAGATTAGTGGCGCACCGGCTGGCGACGACCGTTTGGTCCCCAAAAAAGCACGCGGCTGTGTGCAACACCCGTGTGTAAACGCTTCCGAAGTGGGAAGTCCGACTCTGTCAATGACTACTACAGTAAATAAAACGCAATTAATACATGCATTGTTTGATGCAGCCTGAGCGCTGGTCAAGCAAACGCCTCGATGGTACTGGATCCTCCAAGCAGTGCACGTCGAACTAGTGCGCTTCGTGCCGCCGTCAAAACCCGGGATGGATTCGCGTTCTGGGCATAATGATAGAAGAGTTCGCTTCGTTGATGGACCGGCATGTCGTTGCGAGAAGGACGTCAAGTCATTTCCTCCAGCCTACTTTTTGAAGTGAGAGACCGGACCACCACGTGGCAGTCTCTCCTTTGACCTTTTGACCCGCTTCAACGTTTTATGAAACGATGTAGCTCGTACGCGCGTTTTGATTGGCCAAGCATGTGCGACCCGTCAATTACTCACCGTGTATATAGAAGCAGAGCGCAGCCCCCGCTTCTATCGATCTTTGGTCCCTGACAGTGCAAGACTCATTTTTCAACGCACCACTCCTCCTCCACTACTACTACTGCTACCATGGGCTGCACGCAATCCTCCACGATCGACGAGAACGTCCAGATCGCGACCATCAACAGCGTGTCGGTTGCGCCGCCGTCGACCTCGGCTCCTGGCGATGCGGCCAGCGACGAGCGACGATGTTGTCGTGACGACGTCGTACGTCATTTCGACGACGTCGGTCGACGGCAACGGCGTTGTCTTGTACCACATTGAGACCGACGGCGTTGTCGCCAAGAAGCGCTTCAACGACTTCAAGGTCTTCCACAGCGAGCTCACGACCGTGATCGAGGCTGTGCCGGCGCTCCCCGACTCGGGCCTCGCCACGGTCTTCAAGCGCCGTGACGAAAAGCTCATCAAGGAGCGCTCGGCGCGCTTCCAGGAAATCCTTGACGCGGCCGCAGCCCACGCCGCCGACCGCCTCCAACAGTTTGTCGTTGCCGCCGTCACGGACGACGTCGCCACCAAGGACATTACGGTCGTCGAAGAAATCAACGTGGTCGTTGTCGACGAAGCGCCGGTGCAGGAACCCGTCGCTGACGCCGAAGTTGCCGAGGTTGCCGAGGTGGCGGTCGTCGAGGCTGAGGCCGAGGCTGAGGTCGTCGCTGTTGTTGAAGAGATCGCAGCCGTCGAGGTCGAAGCTGCTACCGCCGTCGAGGAAGAAGTCGCTGCCGCTGTTGAAGACGCCGTCGTTGCCGACGATGTTGCTGCCGTTGAGGCCGCTGCCGAGGCGTCGATCGCTGAAGAAGTCGTCGTTGACGACGCGCCGGCGGCGGAAGAGCCCAAGGTCGTCGCGGCCGAGGCGGCCCCGAAGCCGGTCGCTGCGTAAGCGGTCCACGTCATTTTATTCCTTCTTGTACACTACGGAAGCGCCACTGCGCGTGCTCATAACAACGCCGAACACATCAACTTGATATTGTTTCCACCACTCTTGCATTTGATCTTCTGTCAACTCGGAGTATTCTCGTTGGCCAGTCACGTGGCGTTCTTGTACTAATGGCACGACGCGATAAGACCGCTGCCGAAGAGAAGGGTAATGCCGCGATCGTCGCTGCTCTCGTGCGCAGTAACAACTCGACACCTCTGGCGTCGCCCGCAGTGGTGTTACCTTGCATGCAACGCACGGTAACTACTCAATGTCGTAGGCGCTGGGTCGGTACAGTAGCCGACCAACTCGACGTCTCGCTCGACTCCGGAGTACTGGTACTGTAAAATTCCGTTGGCACGCAGTTTGTGCCCCAATTTAATACGTGGACGTGGACGGTGCGGGTACACTGCAGTGCATCGTGGCCGAGTGGGTGGCAATGGGACAAGGCCGATCCTTGCCTTCTCGAATCGGTAGCTACTCGTTGACGGTCGGTAGAAGGACGGAGACCATGCATTCTTTGAATCGGCAACGATTCCTTGAACTTGGGCGATGGTTCAACAAATTGTGCCGCCAGCTGCTATCGCGCAATCGCAGCGCCGTCGGAAGATCGACGCCAACCCGAGAGGTATCCTGGGACATCTCTTGGTGTCGCGGTCTCCCGTCGCTTGCGGCGCCTCACGCAGCCCGCGTCGGTCACTTCCAAACGCCAAGCGAATCAAGCAGCACGCATACTACCGTGCACCATCGTCTTCGTCGGTCCTGGCCGTTCTCTGTTCCACAGCGCGTTGCACTTGGCGAGAAGAGAAGAGCTGTCTTCTTGAAGCGGGCTTGGGACACGATGATGGGCGTGCCACCTGTTGACACGCGGTGTGTAAAGTCCCAGGCAGTAACCGTGCCAGTTCTCTGGACCCCACGCACGCTCGCGACTCGACCATAGCAGCTCACTTTTACTTTTCCCACTCCAGCACCACTCGAACCATGGGTTGCACGCAATCGACCACCGCCGCCGCCACGACCGAGCCCGTCGTCGCCGACGTGGCTGCCACGGAAGTCGCTGCCACCGAAGTCATGACCGAAGTCGCTGCCACCGAAGTCGCCGACGTCAAGGAGACCCCTGCGGTCGCCGAGGAGCCCGTCGTCGAGGCCAAGGTCGAAGAGGAAATCATCGAGAAGAAGTTTACGATCGCGTCGACGTCGGTCGAGGCCAAGGTCGTCGTGTACCACATCTCGGGCGAAGGCCTCTCGATCACGAAGCGCTTCAACGACTTTAAGGTCTTCCACGCGACGCTGTCGGACGTCTCGGGCCTCCCGGCGCTCCCCGTTGCCGGCTTCTCCACGGTCTTCAAGCGTACGGACGAAAAGCTCATCCAGGAGCGCATCGCGCGCTTCGAGGACATCCTCAACGTCGCCGCCGCCAAGGGCGCGTCCGACCGCGTTGTCGTGTTCTTGACGCCGGCGCCTGAGCCCGTCGTCGAGGCCGCCCCGGCCACGGAAGAGGCCCCGGTCGCCGCTACCGAGGCCGTCGCCGCCACGGAGGTTGTCACTGCCACGGAGGTTGTCGCCGAGGAAGCCCCCAAGACGGAGGAGGTCGCGCCTGTGCCCGAAGTCGTCCCGGAGGTCGCTGCCACCAAGGAGGTTGTCGCGCCCGCCGAAGCCCCGATCGACGTCACGGCCGAGCCCGCCGTTGAGGAGAAGAAGCCCGTCGTCGTGGCGGTTGCCGACGAAGAAAAGAAGGTTGTTGTCGAGAAGACGCCGGAAGCCGCGCCTGTCGTCGCCTAAGCGGACGAACGCTCGACTAATTAATAGCACCCTAGGATATTTGCACTTTTTCATTTCTAGTCGGTGGGGGTCGGCGGGGTCGGTGATCGTCGTGGTCGCACGCACTAGAGTAGGCCTCACATCACGTACGCCAGCAGTGTCGTGGCCGCAGTAATGCCGCGTAGCGTTGCACCCGACGATGCCAGCGGTGCGCAGAGATGCTGCAAAGAACGCAGCCTCTCGTCAACGAGCCGCGTCGAGAAGACTTTGAAGCTGCTGCAGGACTGACACGGCGCGTGCACAGACAGGCGCCATCGAGATAGGACTGCATGTAAACAGAAGCCACCGCTGGTGACCGCAGACGTTCTGGTTCGTCATCCAGAGAAGCATGCGACGCCGTGAGACCCTGTTTTTCCAAAGTGGCAGGTGCCACCTGCAGCTACTTCAACCACGCGAACGACGAACGGACAAGATGTGATTCGTCCGAGCAAGTTGCAGAACCGCATCTCGTCATAGCCTCTGTACAGAGACAGCTCAGGGAACACCGTCCTTTAAGAAACTCTACGCGACGTGATGGAATCGTTCACGGCGCCGAGTTGCCTGGTCGGTGCAAGGACCGAGATCCTTTCGACTGCACTCTCGATTATGACAGTAAAACGATCCCCGGTTCCAGCAGAGGCCGGAGCGAGGGGATGCCTCTTCGCAGCTTGTCCGCAGGGAAACCAACCCGCATGCTCTTGGTGGCTTGGTGTAGCTTGAAGGGCATCGGTACCGGAGAACCCGTGACCGATGTGCTACATGATGAAGAGCAGCACGCTTTCCGACAATCCAAAAATCTAAATTATGTTGATGTACTATCATGCTACACTACTTCTACCCAGTCATATCGACATCGCCTATTCGTACGTGTCGGCGTCGTCGCTCACGTCGACGCGAAGGGCACAGAACACTTCGAGCGCCGCGTTGAGGATCTCGTCGTCGAAGGCGACGACGTAGTTGATAAACTCCTGGAAGCGTTCGCGCCGGGCCTCGATCATCGCCACGTCGTGTCGGCGCAGGTACGTACGAAGACCGGCCTCGGGCAGCGGCGGCAAGTCCTCAATGAGCAAGCTCATCTCTTGATGGAACAGTTTGAAGTCGGTAAAGCGCTTGGTGGCCACGACGTCGTCCGACGTTATGTGGTAGAGCACAACACCCGAGTCGTCGATCGAGTACGACGAGAGAAGGTAGACCTTTTGGGGCGGCGCAACCGGTGCTGTCGTCGGTACCAGCGCCGACGATGTGTTCAAGGCCGACTTCGACTGCGAGCAGCCCATAGCGAATCGCAAAATGCAATGCTGCAGCATGGTCGAATTGCTTCCACGTGCTAGGTTTGAAATTTCCATCGCCACCGATTCCCACAGTCAAGTACACCTACGGCAGTGCTCGTGAGGAATCATATGCTCTTTAACGGGCCACGAGATGCAGGAGAAACCTTTCATTTTATGATGCCCACAAAGGGTCAAAGAGGTGTGCTGCTCGGTCGCTTTCTTACCGTATCCACTTGTGCGTCGGGACGGTTACCGGTTAATGTACTTTTTAAGGGAATGCCGAATGATGGTCGATGGCACATGGACGGTAGAGAGGCGCTGAGAAGGGATATACACATGGCGCCGCACCGTGTGGCAACTGGACTGTGTGGCTCGTAGCGTGTCCGACCTCTGGCTAATGAACGGAACGTTGCGCTCTGCCGCTAACGACGACGGCTCCAAACCGAGCTTCAATCAGTGCCAACGAGCGACTAGCTTGGGTAGCCAGCCCACGACCGCAGCCCTTCGGTGCAGACTCTCCAACATAGTCCGACCCCTCTATGACCGCTGGAAACCGTCGCCGTTGATTCATTGCTTCCGTACCAATGGTATGTGCCGAGCAAGTAGAACCACCGCCTGTGGGCTGTGGCTTTGGCTCTATTTCGTCAAGCAAAAACCAACGTGCTACGACAACAGCAGTGCCTGACAGGGGACGCCTCGCAGGATCGACCACGACAGCGTCAACGTCGCACCCAAGACATGTATCTCCTTGCTCGCACTCATGACGCATTCCGTGCCTCCTCTCGTGCTGCAGGTATCGGAACAAGACAATATTGTACACAAAACACAATCGTACATGTTTGCGTCTTTCCACGGTCCACCTAGTCATCGTCGTTCTCTATTGATCGTTCTTGCTATTTACATCATAAATTGAAAGCCATAGCCAAACTTCAGATCGTCCGCGGCCGGCGTGCCTTCGGCCGAGAGGAGCAGCTGGAGCTGCGGCAGCACCTTGCACTCGAGCGACGTCGCAAGCTTGAACGTGTGGTCGATGCTCGAGACGAAGCGCGTCTGGCGCAAATCGACCTCGACACCGAGCGTGCTCGCAGCCTCGCCCGACGGCGCGTTGTACACGAGCTCGGTCGCGAGCCGGACGCGGTCCGAGACCTTGCGGAGGTAGTGCAGCTGGAGCGTGCCCTGCGAGCCGTACGAGGCAATGCCGGTCCACTTGGCGTCCGTGTACTTGGCCACGTACGACGCGATCGTCTTGCGGTGCTTGCCGTAGTAGTAGCCTTCGCCGCCGATCGCCCACTCCTTCGTGACGCTCTGGAGGTAGTTGACGCCGAGGAGGAGGCCGTTGCCGACCTTCAAGTTGGCCGAGCAGTCGGCCGCGCTAAAGTCAATGTCGACCATCGCCTGCGACGCATGGGCCTCCTGCTTGAGCTGCGCCTGCGCGCGCATCTTGAAGTGGTCGCTCAGGCGCGCATGCCAGCGCGCATCGACCGAGCCGTCGTGCGACACTTGGCCGCGGAGCTAACACAAGAAAGAGTTGGCGTTGCACACGAATAGTGAGCGCGACGTACGAGCATGGGTTCGGGGCCGTCGCCGACGACGGTCGTCGCGCCAAACTGGTAGACGCCGCCGGGGATCTGCGGGCAGCCGAGGAGGAGCGCGTGGTTGACCGCGAAGCGCGGGCCAAGGTTGCGCTGGAAGTCGAAGCGGAAGCCCTCAAACGTGCCCGGCATCAAGACCGACTTGACCTCGCCAAGGACGTTCTCAAAGGTGCCCGGGTTCGGCAGCGACTTGTGCGCCTTCTCGATGGCCTCGACGGCGGCCACGAGCGAGTTGGTCGAGAGGTCCTCCGGGGCCTCCGAGAGCTCGGGCAGGGGCACGGACGTCGCGGACGACGTCGCGAGGACCTTGAACGAGCCGTGCTTCGCGAGGTACGCCAACATCGCTCGTCTTTGATCCCAACAAGTCAGCAATAGCAGCCACCAGTGCTCGACCAGCCACGCAATTGGGTCGTTCGAGACGAATCGATTAAATGCGAACGTACTTTTTATCCGATAAAGTGCGTTTTTGAAAGACTATCAACCAATCGCAGATCGGCATTTCATTTTCAGCATTTGGATTGGCTTTTAGAAGGCATATTATAGCCAATCCCATGGCGTGCAGTGGCAGACGATACGGCCATTGGGGGAAATGCAAAAAAGTGCAACGTCGACTTCGCGGATCGACTTGTTGTCGTTGCGGGATGGGGTCGCTGCTACTTGGCTCTCGTACAGATCGCGAGTGCTTGCGAGCATGCTTGGAGGAAGCTATAGAATGAAAAAGCTAGTGTCAACCGCGGCCAACCGCTAATGATAAAGACCCGAGATACGCACGCTCGATCGAGCGTTGACCATGCCACTCTTGCTTTTCTGTTTTGGCCAATCCGTTTCGATGACGCGGCGTGCGTTGTCAGGATTGGCCAGAAGGATGCGCGTTGGCGCCAAGCCCACGCAAGCCCTTTAAAGCGCCGATCTTTGCCTCATTGTCCGGTATGGGCAAGGGAATAGTACTTGGACACGGGTGTCGTCTCCCCCTTCTGGACCTGAAAGCTGGCAGGACCACACACAGAAACTATACAATGACCTCCGACAGTATTGCGGTGGTGCGT